GAGTGTATGCAGCCGGACGTGCACCCAAACGTATGTGAGTTCCCTCACTAGAAAATGTAAGTGGCCAAGGTTGAGAAACACTGCTCTAATGGCTACAACTAACCGAGTTTCAGTATTCTATTTTCACTCCAAGGGCCTGGCTGCAGGCTTGTTATGTTTTCTGGGCATCCCGAGGCCCTCAGATTCATATTTTGTTGCATTTAATTGCTGGGTGTTTCAATGACTACCTAGCAGATTAGATTAACAGGTGGCAAATCAATTCCACAAGATAAATAAAAATGTCATTAACGTTCAAAATGCTGCCTGGTGACCTGCAAGTCTGGCTGCAACTCCGCAGCAAACACAAAAAAAATTTAAAAGCCTCCACATTCTCAAAGTCCCAAGTAATTTCCTGAAAAGGACAGATAAGAGGGGAAAAAAAAGTTTGCAGTGAACTTAGTCCGTGGGGAGCTGGTCATCATCACACCTAGTAAAACAAGGGGGGGGGGGAGAAAGCTACAAAAACACATCATTGCTCTCTTTCCCCAGCAAACTGCTTTGCAATTTGAAAAGCAAGGCGCTTTGAGGCGGGTATCAAAAGATAGTGAAATATGGATATTAAAGCCTCCTGTGCTGGTCTCCGGTGAGCACTTCTGCATTCTTATTTCAAAGCTGATGCTTTGCAAAGAACTGGGTGAGAAGGCCAGCCTGCCTGCCCAAGTTCAAACACACCCAAAGGCCATCTCTACCTCTGCAAAACAGGACCACGGGCCCCCGGAAGCACTTCTCCTAGGAGTGCAGAAACTCTTACCTAGCAAACCGCTCTTTGTCCGTGGGGAGCTGGTCATCATCACACCTAGTAAAAAAATTGGGGGGGGGAGAGAAATACGTCAATGAAAGGGCTCGAAACGGCCAAGGAGGAAACCCTGAAGCAAAGTGGGCATGTTAGAAATCCCGGCTTCCTGTGATAAGATTCTGTAACCAAGTTGCTCTTAAGGGTGTACACTGTTCTTTCTCCCCTGCGCTTTTAGCTGGACCAAAACTATTACCTACATAAAAGGGCTAAATCCAGAGACGGCCATTATTCCCCCACGGCCCCCAGCACGGTTTTCATTTTACAGAAAATTTAATCCACCCATCACTTCCTGCCATTGTCTTCTTGTGGGTCCAGTTCACACCATCTGCTGAGGGGGGTCCAGGGGAAGATGGCCCTGCTGCGCAGGCAGGTACCCCCACTCAGGGGGGAGTTCAGAAGGGGTTCTCTGGTCACCCGAAAGGGACAAGAGGGTGGATGGGTTAACCTCCTTGTCAGGTGCCAGGGACAAAGTGACATCCTAGAAAAGTGGGAGATTCTCGGGGGATATTGCTTCTGCTTTATTTTTTACACCCTCAGTTCTCAGAGAGGGAGGGCATCAAAATGGATGGGTGCAGATTGATTTTAGCCTGTCAGGGATCCCTATCACGATTATGTCATGTTCAAATTACTGTTGTTAGTTCTTGCATAAACCACTCTTAAAAATCACCTCCCCCCCCCCACAAAATCTTCCTTTCCTGGCTCCTGACGCACACATTGGCAGGCTGTCCTGTCTCGGTAGCCCCCGACTTCCTTGCCAACGGAAACCACGCTCACCTGAGAAACTTGCTGCTCCCTTCGCCATCGTCCTCAAAATCGAGCCTAAAGTACAACAAGAAGGACAACCGTGACTGCAGGGGAAGCATTTCTTGAGCACGCCCACCCTTGAACGAAGAGACGGTCTGGCAAAGTTGGTGAATCAGGAGAACTCTTCCTGGCCTACGTTATTGGGGCAACCCCCCCAGCGTCCTTGTTCCTAACTTACCCCGTCCTCCGCTTGCTGTTTCTCTGGGCAAGGTTTCCTCCTGGATGTGCACCTGGTCCTGACGTTCCAGACGTTGCTCCCAAAGAAGGAACATCCGATGCCATTTCTGGGAAGACGGAGACACAGACCGGCTGGTCAGGGCAAGAACAGTTTCAGATGTGCTGGGCTGGCAGTTAGTTCCCCCTCCGCCCTTGCCAAGCTACCAGGCGATAGAAGCATCAGAGGGGGAAACATGGCCACACCTGCGCATTCACAAACGCCAGGCCAGGAGCACCAGATCTTCTAGTGCGCTGCTGCAAAGGCACAGGCTGTTTTGGCATGCCTGCCAGGGGCTCTCTGACGGTCGTTCTCAGAAAAGAAATGCTTTTAAGGTGGGAAAGAGGAGAGTGGAAGCTGAGGGGAGAGGAGCAATGCAGCACCATTGGGGTTTCCCCAAAGCCTCACACGTTTAGCAAGTGTTAAACATTCTAGTTCCATGCGGCTTTTTCGGCTGTGAGACCTGCCGTGTATTTTGTCTCAAACGTGCAGAAACAAATTCATAAAGCTTCAGAGACTCGCTATGGGCTTTTGTCCAGAAAAATGTAAGTAAATTTTTTTTACACAGGCCCAGGTTATCTGAGGAGCCGTCTCGCCCCCGTTATATCAGCCTGCCCCACTCGGTCTGGCAGAAGGGGCATGTTGCAGACCCCGCCGGTCAAGGAATTTCAGCTGGCGGGATCTAGGAAGAGGGCCTTTTCTGCCGTGGCCCCCGCTCTGTGGAATAACTTACCACCCAAGGCGTGAAATCTTGTGTAAGCCAGATGGCCAGGGGGCCGGATGGGGGCTCGCACCAGTGGAAGTGGCTTGTGGGGTAACTGATTTCACCCCCGTCATCTTGAACGTTTTTAGTTTTTACGTATAAGGTTTGTTTTATATAGCCTGATTTTTAATTAATTAATGTGGTCATTTATTTTTTAATTGTTTATGGGTTTTATTCTAATTGTGAGCCGCCCAGAGTCACCCGCTGGGGGGGCATACAAATGTATAAATAAATAAATAATAAATAAAATTACATAGGTCCAGTTTTTATATCCCATATAGACATTAAAGACTTTATAGGCAGAAGACCCCAATCTGACGCCTACGGATCCATTCAGTAGATTGGACTAGAAGAAATCATGAGAGGCTCATGGCTTATGGTGATGATAATGGTATATCTGAAGCAAGATCTACCTTTTTTGTGATCCATTCGAGTACGGAAAGAGGCACACCCCTTCCTTTGGACTATGGAAACGAAGAAAACTTACAGAAAGCCTGACTGACCCAAGGTTTCTCTAGAAACAACGGGTTGCTGCACTCCAACTTGAATTTGAGGAAGAAAATTGATGCCACATGTGAATGAACCAAAGACTCCAAACTCTCCACTGAATTAAGAAACACAGATGGAAGAACTTTGCAGCACGAAAACGTAATTTGAACAGGGCACGCTGGAGATTGCTTTGCTTGTCAGAAAATATCCCCAAAGGTGATTTAAAAGCTTGCTGCAGAGTTTTAAGGCTCCCCATGCAGAAGGGCCAACCTAATTAACACCACAAGATTGTAAAAGCAAGAAACAAGTTAGAAACCATCTGAAGTACTCTTAGAGGCTGCCCCCTTTTTAAAAAACAGCAAAGAAGTACATATTTATGCATAAAAGCCTGCAGAAACTGTCGGATCAGAAGAACACATGTAATCCAACACCAGACTAAGCACTTTCTTTTAAGGTTAACTTAAAAAACAATTTCTTCCCACCAGAAGAATGTTACTTCACTGGTAAAGGTTTCCTGTCAGGAAAATGCAGAATTTGGAGTTTTGAGAGCAAATACCTCCATTGCATCCCCTCCAATAAGAAGAGGGCGGAAGGAAAGAATAAATCCTATTTTGTCAAACCAGATAAACATTTACAGGCACGCCACTCACTTCTTGGTTTCAAAACTGAAGTGCCATAGGAAACCAGAAGCATTTAGGTCAAGAGTAGCAATTTTGCAATAACATAACCCCTTGGTATAATCTGAAGAACCCTCAGGATCTTGAGAAATGAAATAGAAAGATACCGGTCTTCATAGCTGCAATCACTCCAGCTTCCACACCGAGACAAAAGATCTTTTTTTTGACTAGCTCAGTCACACATGGGACTTTAAATCTGCGGCTGACAAGATTTTAAGCTGTGGCTTCTTTTCCAGAACAAGTGTATTTGCAAAAGAACCACGGGTCTGTTTCAAAAGCCAGAACGAGAGAGACAACACTTCTGATGTTGGCCAAGCGATGACGTATTCAGCCTAAGCATTTCCAAAATAATTCTGTACACAAAGAACGCTGAGCGTGTTATCTCACAGGGCTCTCTCGAAGGCTGTCATCGCAAAAAGCTATGCCAAAGTTTAGCGTATCTTAAAAGCCACATTTTAGTTCCAGCAATTAAGAGATTCAGAGATTCTTATTTAGGTCGAAGGAAAGTTTTGCTAAGCACGGAGGGTGAGTTGCCAAGGAATTATGCTTCCATTTGTGTTTCTAAGACTCTCAAAAGTTTCTGAGAAAGACAAAAAGGCCCGGTTAGAGGAGCAGAAAGTTTGGCTTCCTTTACAGATATACATGTAAGATGCAACTCTCTCTTTAATTTCTCTAATTCCAGATGCTGGGCCAAAACAATCTCAACTTTCCTTGCAACAGAGAAACACCTCTTAGAGACGCTTTCTGCAAATGGTCCCGTTAGATTATTTGCCGTATCTTGAATTAAACAGCACCATATTGACTACCACCTCCAGCAGCGGAAGAAAAACAAGTAGGATTTACAATAATTTAATCCAACACAGCCTTTCCTGGCAGGCGGCAACTTTTACTCTGGCTGAGAGCGATGGGAATTGGGATCCCAAGCATTGGGATAATGTGCAAAGATACGTGGATCAGGGAGCTTGGGGGGACGCCGTTTCCAGCCTGCTCACTGGTTGCCTGCTGAACATGGACACCCTTGGGCCTTGTCTTGAGGGCCCCAGGGAGCTGTGGCCCCCTGGACCCCATGGCGAGGCCCCCAGGGAGCTGTGGCCCCCTGGACCCCATGGCGAGGCCCCCAGGCCCCCATGCGAAGCAGCGAAGAGCCAGATCCACTCCCTGTCAGGCTCGGGGCCTGGCTGGGGCGAGCCCTTGGCGGCAGGCGCTCCGGATGAGGCCCGGCTCCTCCGAACCCTCTTCAAGGGCAGCCCCACAAGCGGTGCACAGCAGCAGTCTAGCCCAAGCCACGGCTATTCCTGCCACTTGGCAGGGGGCAACCGCTCCTGGTGCCCGGCCAATGCCGGTGCCAGCCCCATCGTGCTCAGCCAGCGTTGGGACGGCGGCTGGGGATCATGGGAGGGGTCTTCTAGAGCATCTGGGGGCCCCCCAGCTTTGTTGGGGGGGATGATGGAGCTGGAGCTCCCCATAGCTGGGAAAGCAACGTCAACCGCGGGTGGGGGAGATGGGCACTGTAGTGATGGGAGTGGTGGGCTGGGAATGATGGGACTCGCATTCCGTCACAGCGGCGTGACGACACGCCACAGGGCGCTCGGGATGCGTTTAAAGCAACGTCACGGGCTGGTCCGTGACGTCACCTTCGCCCCGCCCCCTCCCGCTGCTCGGGAGTCCCGCGGAATCACTTTTCCCCTACTTCTGGGCCACGCCCCCTTTCGCAGGGACGGCGGTGCGGGCCCCACCCCCTGGGCGTGGTGAG